GTATATTTTACACTACTGAGAATAATGAAAATGATTTTAATTCCACTTTTCTGACTAACTCTCTAGGCAAATCAAAACCTCTCAGAGGTCTGTTGTCAAAATCTGGCTGCAGCACTATAAGCTAAAACTGATTAATGGAACAGATTAGAAATGGTTACACTAAAAGTTTCTTTAAACATGGTTGATGAATTACTGATGAACATGCCTTTTAAATTTTATGTGCTAAATAAACCCTTATTGCATCCTATCATTCCTTTTCTGTATCAATATTTTCAAGCCTTAATTTTAAGCTTTATTATGGGTTTGTTTCATATTTGTAAATTCTACTTCAGACCAGTTGTACTTTAGGAGAACAATCAGCCAATAAAATGTACAGGTAAAAATAGCAACATAAATTTTATGGAAGAAAGTTACTTGTTCCTTTTCTGTGGTATACTAAGTTTGTTTTAATCACTTTATCCATGCACTTACTTTCCAAAATTTATTAACTTATTTACTCATCCATTATATATCTATTGAGTAACTTTTTGACCCAAGTTACTACATTCAAAATAGGGAAGTATAGGTCATAAAGTAATAAAGATATGGACACTACTTCCAAAATAATAACAATGGAGCAGAGCCATATAATGGAAAATAGCACCTCTGGCAAGCAGTGAAATTGTTCCCCTGTCCAAGCATCTGGTACCTAGTTTTTAGATAATTTTACCTTAATATGAGCTGAGAAATACAAGTCAAGCTTATTAATCTTTTACTTTATGACACTACATGAAAAGTATAACTGCACATTCCTTGCTTTCACTGATGAAAATGGGTCTATGATGTGCTCAAAAATATATACAAATGTATTTTTAGTTTCTTCTCTGTCTACACTCAGCAGAGCAAGATCACACAATCTGCTTTGACTCATGGAAGCTCTCAAATACAAAAGCATTAAAACATTTTAACTGGCTGAATGATGTCTCACAGCTGACAATGGCAATTGTGATGGTTACCAGAAACTACTCAGTGGCACCTCCCTTCAAGTAAGGCCCAGGGTACATGCCATACCTGCCATAACTTAGATATGTCTCTGTAGTAGAAAAAGACATATACTCAAAAAAGTATGTAAGTATAAAATTAAAGCAACACACTATAATCAGTACAAATAAAACACTAGAAGATACAAATAAAACACTGGAAGAACCTAATAGAAACTTGGAAAAAAAATCACCCTTTTGGAGTTACCAACTGTATTTTTTAACTGATGAGAAAACTGCAGATCAAAGTGTTTCAAGTTGAAGTCATACAATAAGTTACAGAAGAGGAAGCTTCATCATTTCTCTTACTTTAATTTTCTCTCTTTCTGCACCTAAGATTTTTTTCAATCTATAAATTGAGAGAGTAAGAATATTAGGATTTTTGTTTTCTTTATCCTTTTTTTCCCCAAAAAAATGTATTAGAAAGATATTCCAATAAAATATTATTCAGAAGTCCAATATGTAAAACATACAAAAGCAGAGACTTTCAGACTCCTCTGACCACCCACAGCAGTGTGTCCCCTTCACAGAACATCTTAAAAGCACAGGATGAAGACTTGTGGAGCAGATGACCTCTCTGGTCCTGTTCTATTCACTGTGACTATATTAGGATTATATGCTTCTACACAGAGAAGTTGAAACTTTGGTTGGTCTTCAGAGATTAGTTGCATTTGGACAGGCAAATGTGTACATTTAGAAAGTTGTGAAAGTATAAGACAAAGGTATAGAACTAATAAAGTACATCTGTGTTAGGCAAATATTGAATAGTTCTACCTTGCTATAGATTAAAATAAAGAGTCTTTGTGGTACAATGGTTAAGTGCTTGGGTGCTAATTGAAAGATTGGTGGTTCGAACCCACCAGTAGCTCTGTGGGAGAAAAGGCCTGGAAATCTGCTCCTGTAAACATAACATCTTAGGAAACCCTCTAGGGCAGTTTTGCTCTTTCACATATAGAACTGAGTTGGAAGAGAGTCTATGACACACAACAAAAACATAGAATAAAATAGATGAATGGGAGTTGGAGAGATTCAAGTTCAAAAGAATTACTTGAAATATCTTCTAAAAAGCATTGAAATAATGATAAAAAAGTAAAAAATTATCAAGCCAAAAGAGATACAAAAATGAGAATCCAGGGTATTTTTTTTCTGGTGGTGGAAATTGGTGTTGTGGTTAAGGTATTGGGCTGCTAACCAAAAGGTTGGCAATTTGAACCCACTAACAGCATAGTGCGTAAGGCACTTGACTGCTAACCAGAAGGCTGGCAGTTCAAACCCACCAGCAACTCCTTGGAAGGAAGGTTGGGCAATCTACTTCCATAGTGATACTGCCTCGGCAACTCAAGGAGGGGGTCGCTATGAGTAGGGTCCGACTCGATGGCACATAACAACACAACAATATGTTTTTTAAAAAATAAAGGGTACATATTAAAAAAAAATGGCAGAAAACTAGAAACTATAAAAAGTGGCATCAGATTTGAAAAGAACCAAATAAATTTGAGAACTAAAAAAGATGACCGAGGTCAAGAACTTGATGACCAAACTGATCAGCAGTTTGGAAACAGGTATAAAGTCAATTACTGAACTGCAGAACATCAGAATTATTATTCAGTTACAAAAGGAATAAACAAAAAGATAGAAAATGTAAAAGCAACAGAAAATAGAGGAAAAGCAGAAAGAGATAGTCTGAAAAATCTCAAATTCTGTCAAGGATATGAAGAAATAGGAGCTATCATTTGTGACTAGTACATGTGTAAAGTAGTACAACTACTTTGAAAAACATTTAGGCATTATCTAGTAGAGTGCGAATATATCTATACACAAGTTAATTTGGCCTTTTTTTGAACGTTACATAAATACTTGTCTAGTATGAAGATATGCATGCCTATGTCCCAGCAATTCCACTCTTTGAGTATAAATATTAGAGACTTTTGGGAGCTAAAATATATGCCCAAGAATGTTTATAGCAGCATTCTTTGTAATAGCCCAAATCTGGAAATGATCTACAAATCCAAATGTTCATCAGTGTGGAAAGGATAAAAATATTGTGGTACAAGATAAATTAGAATATTAAACAGCTTAAAATTGAACAAACTAGAGCTATGTACAATAACAAAACAAGTAAAATTAAATATGTTTCTTAAGAATTCATATCGAGATGAAGACACTTCAAAGAAGTGAGCACTTCTTTATTTTTTAATATATAGTGTCTCTACCTATATGTTGTTGTTGTTGTTGTTGTTGTTATGTGCCGTCAAGTTGGACCTGACTCATAATGACCCCTCCATGGGTTTCCAAGGCAGTATCACTA